GAAAAACATTAAAAACAAAATCATTAAAAGAATCTCAAACTCTACCAGAATGAAAGGCCAGGGAGTAAAAGTGAGTTTTACGTAGAGATTCAGCAGTCCGTATGCTAAGAGGTAAATCATTCCAGAGTTTTGGTGCAGAGACAGCAAAGGCCCGATCACCTCTAGACTCTCTGGTTTCATTCAAAAGAGCCRATCGTCAGATATTGTCCAAGATTAACCTTCAGGGTGGATATAGCTCCCTAGCAGCCTCGCATACCAATGACCTAGCCAAAAAATGTATTTTCACCTGCCCAGTGGGTTATCTTACAAATTATATTTAGACTCTTATTTATCATCTAAAATGACAAAGAGACCGTAAGGTTTTGTGATTATTACARTTTGTTTCTCAGAAAGATGCTGGATGGATCTGTGATGAACTCACATCATGTTGGTAGTTTAAAAATGTCTCATAAAGCTGAAGGCAACAGAAACTACATKGAATTATTTTTAATGAACAGAGTCATTTAGCRCACACATGCSCACACTTGCAGAACCTTTACAATGWATTAGTCAGCCAAGCTTATAGAGCAGCAGTGGCCTTTAGGAGGATGCAAATATTTTTGCACCTGTCTCCTCTGTCTAAACCATCTGGATACTGAGAGCAGGTGATCATGAGTTACTCAAATGTTTGTATGGATGGACTTTCTGTGTTGCCCTTTCCTTTATAAATTCTGAACAAATAAAACAAGTCGTAGTTTTGCTGTCAGGTAGCAGTTTGCGCCTGGACCAGTCATTTTGATGGCAACCTAAAAATCCGTTTTTTCTTTTTTGTATTTTTCAACAGGACCAGTTATCAGCAGTATGTTTTTATTTGTTTGAACACCAGTTCAGTGAGTGCATATGCAGTACAAAGACTAAATAAAATGTTTGCATCATATCTGATCCACTGGCAGAAGTTTCTCTCATTAAAAATTGACGAGTTTTTTATTTTTATTTTTTTAATGAGAGCGCAGTTTGTTCAACAGTCAAGGGTCAGTATCTTCAGATGTTTTTAAATACAGTGATGATTATTCTGTTTACAGTGGACTGAAGGGTTATGAACCACTTACTGAACTATAAGACCTTCTGATGAACACAAACAGGCTCAATGAAAATGGTAGAATACAAACTATTCATTCACACTTGTGAAATACAGATTACTTTTTAATGTAGGTTTGCTCTACATCTGAACCTGTTGCATGCATGTTAAAAGCTCCTAGAAATAACTCGAGCCTGATGTTTTCACAGATCTTTTTCTTATATACTGTATGTTGTTAATTTGCAACAAAAAACACCCCATTTTTTCCTTTGCATGGAACATTGTTGAAATAATAAATCTTGACAAAGTTCACAGGAGGACCGCTGTAACCACAGGCTAACAGTTGTGACTGTGATCACAGGTCAGCAGCTCTGTGGCCTTATTCACGCCTGACTTTATTATGCCTCCCGGGGGGATTTGATCACAAATGAACAGCTTTAACTACTGGTGTGAATCCACCCAGGATGCACTGAGGTCACACTGAGATGAGATATCTCAGATGACATTCTRGGTTGCATCCGGTCATGTTATTTAGCAAGGTGAACAGGGGTTACAGTGGGCTACAATGTGGTCAAAAAACACAACTTTTGCTTTAAAAAACCCACATGTGAAAGAGTCGTACATCAGGTTGTGTAGTTATTAGTTTTGCATGAGGATGTACAGCAGGACTTAAGTTAACAGTACAGAGTGGGATGGACGGATGGATGGATGGATGGATGGATGGATGGATGGATGATTGTCAAACTAAATATATAGA